ATTCCAGATGTCACTAGCATTGTAAAAATGTTATTTTTTTTAATTTTTAAAAAAAAAAATTATTAGCCAACGGCTATAAAAATAGCCATTTCTACAGTTAAATGTAGAAATGGCTGTTAACAAAACAAATAGCCAAAATGGCTATTTGTTTAGCTTGCCCGTTGGAACATGAACAGAAATAATTAAATAGGCAAAACAGTTTTAGCTCTCCGTATGCCTCGTCCGTTGGAGCTGCTCTGAGCTAGTTCTTGTAATTAGGCTTTCTTTTTTCCTTTTTCAAATCTTGTATATCAATACTTCATGAATCTACTTCGAGGAGATATAAATGATAAGAAGAAAAACACATCAAAATCAAAACCCAAGAAGGAATATTTCTAAAAATATTTTTTTGTTCTTTCTCTTTGTATTTATCTCCATCTTGTAGAGAAAGTATTGATAGTTACCACTGCCACACTTTAAACTTTATCAGCCGAGAGGGGTCTGAGTAAGTAACATGAAGCTCATATCATGATCTTGATTTGATTCGAGTAAAAATCATTGAACCCACTTAACTGAAATTGCTGATACAAAATTTAGCCTTTGGTTAGAAGTTGTAGCCGGCAAACATGATTAGCCACTCCATGTAATGATGATCATTAACATGGGTACGTGGACTTTGGATCTCCGCGAGCCCACGCCAGGTGTATTATAAAACTAATGTTTTATATTTTTATATTAATTTTTTAAAATATTTTTATTTAGAAATCTAACAAAATTATATATTTATTTATTTTTAAATTTTATTTTTGATATCCGCTTATAAAAATAATTAAAAAATAATTTTTTTAAAAAAAACAGGTTGGCCACAGTAATAAAAACCAAAATCATATACTCTGGTGACTTGTCAAGTAGTTACCGGAATATAAACCATGATAGTCCTCCAAAATGCTGATTAAGAGATTCTAGAGATGCATGCTCTTCCCCCTTCACATTCAAGAACAAGGATTATTATTTTTTTAATGAAAGTTTTAAGTCTGTTTGGCTTGACTCTTAACTCATGGCTTTTTATTTTAAATTATAATTCAAAAGTTGTTTTTTCATGAATATCTTAAATCAAATATGAGGTAAAATGACTTTAAATTAAGAATATATTTGATAAAAATGATTCAAAATAGTTTTTTTTCTTTTATGAAAAAAGAGAATTAATGCAATATAAGTTATAATCCACAAATCAAAAATTAAAAGTTTAAGTTTTAATTAAATCAAAATTTACCTTGTCTCAAAAGTTAAGAAAACAACAGGAGTAAATTACAAAAGTCATACTATAATATTGTGAAACTACAAAAGTCATACTATAATATATAATATTGTGAAACATGACCCGGCTCGGTGAGTGGATCTAGAGTTGAAACCGGGCCAAATATAAAGAAAGAAAAAACTCGATGTTACCTGATTGACCCAGTCAAAAACCTAGTTGCAACCCATTAATTTTTTTTTTATTAAAATAATATAATTTTAATTTTAAAACATTAACTCGAGCGACCCAGTAATCAGGTCAAAACTCAGAATCCAGACTTTGGATTGAGCTGGCTACCAGACTTTAGATTGAGCTGGCTACCAGGCCTAGTCTGAAAACTATGCTATATATAACCTCAATTTCATGATATAAAATTTCAAACCAAACTGCAGGAGATTGCTAGTATTCTGAAAACTATGCTATATATAACTTCAATTTCATGACATAAAATTTCAAACCAAACTGCACGAGATAGCTAGTATTCGTATATCTATGTGAAAAAGCTACACTAACTATGTTTAACATGAGGAATATAATTTATTGAAGAATAATATAAATTATATTTTAGAATTTTATTTAATAATTTAAGATTTGGGGATTGAATTGATTTTTAATATAGTATCAAAATTTTAATGATAAAATAGTTATAAATTCAAATTTTACCATTTATATTTATTTGATAAAAATTAAACACAAAGTAGTATGTATATCTAAGTTTGAAAGTTAAAAAAAAAAATTGTTTGAAAGGATATTTATTAAAAATAACATAAATTATATCTTAGAATTTTATTTAATAATTTAAATTTTTAAATTGAAATAATTATGCAAGACACTAAATGTAAATCTGAAGAGTTTGTTGGTAAGTTGATTGCTAGTTCACATAAACATGAGAATGCAAGTGATTTATATATGCTCCTGCGATGAGTAAATCTCTGAAAAAACATTCCAGGTGACCGAACCGTGCCAGCTATTCTACCATTTGTCCGCTTTGCTATCGAATACACTAACATACGATCATATGTTGAGAGAAATTGAGAGGTGCTAAATTGTTCAACCAAATAACTAGGGTACTCCACGAAAGACGAGATGATCACACTCGCCTCTTCATATAAAAAAGACAGACAATTCTTCATTCGCCAGATGTATCTGGATAATGGATTCTTCAACACCAGTCAAAGCCAAAAGGGTTGTTTCAGATCAACCTAGCAGTAAGAACTTCACTGATAAAAAAATTAATAACATCATTTTATGAGGGGCGTGATGCTCAAAATTGAGCTGTGTTTATGTAGTGAACTTGTAACACAATTATCGTGTTATCCAAGAAACATAAACTCCGAAAGCAAGGCATGAAATGAGTAAATACATGACTAGCTAGAACTGATAAATTGTCAAATGGAGGAGAATCTTACAGTTTTCTTTGTTTATGCTATGTCTCTCTTGGAATCCAGAAGGCCATAATTGCAACCAAAATCCCCCATAACTGAGTCAAGAATCAAGATAAAAACAACAAAAACAAATGAAAATCATATATTGTTTTGCTCACATTTGAGCTTGAGATAAATCAGTGGTGCAGCGGATGTCCACCACCTAGGTAGGGAGTGTAATTAAGGTAACAGCCTCTAGAAAACTCATATTTGCAGCAACTGTCGCAAACAACTAAACAAGTATTTCCTAAGCACCAAAAATTCAAAATCAGTCAGTTGGTTCAAGATCCCATACAGCATTTAAAACTGCGCCAATCCCCTTGAGCACTCAGGTTTTTGAATATCTGTTGTTGCACAAAATTTAAACAAACATAGGAGAAATGTTGATTTTAAGGACAACATATAATGATGACCTTTTTTGATATATGTAGCCCATTTGAAAACATCAAATGACGATAACTACGGCCACGTATAATTCGCCGCCACAGAAACTGGAGCAGGTTCTGTAAACTCATTTTCATGAGTTCCTGGACATGCCTGTGAGCCGACATCAACATATGCAAACAAACAACATTTTCATGCTCATTTTGGGTGATAAGATATAAAGGGAGAAGATTACTTACCATCTCACAAGACATCTCTGAATACCTTCAGAAAGGGGACGAATGAATGATGGGTCGCGTTGAGCATAGAGCAAACCAATCTAAGGAATTATGTTAAGTGAGCTTATCTAAGAAAAACATTAGCCAATATGGGTACTAAAAGTAAACTAAAGGCTAACTAATCCATGTATTTAGCTGTTATCCATGAAGATTACCAAAATTCATTATTTTTTTGTGGCAGTGACAGATAAAGTTTGAAAATTATGGTTTTTTGTACCAAAGCATAGTAATAATTATTTTTTAAAATATTTTTTAAAAAAATATATAAATAAATATTTTTTATTTTTTTAAATTATTTTTAACATCAATACATTAAAATAATCTAAAAACAATAATTTTAACTTTTTTCTTTCAAAATATCACAACAAAACAATTTCAACTGAAAAACAAACAGTTCTCTGCATTCCAAAAAGTTTTTAAAAATATGTCAGCATCCAGCAATTAAAAAAACAAAAGGCACATAAAAATTACTAAAGTAACCAAAAAAAAAGGCAAAATCATGGATGCATAATAATAATAATGCAATGGTGCATGGATCATTAAATATCTTAAAGATACAATCACCTAGTTAATTTACCCACATCAAGTAAAGAAAAAATTTAAAATTAAAATTAAATAAAAAAACAACAACAGCTACTTCAACACTTAAAGTTATGGCTTAGTTAAAAAAAAAAAAAAAAAGGCTTATTTCCTTCTTTTATGCTTGAATTATGCAGTGCCTTACTTATTGGGTTTGTTGAATATTTAATAGATTTGATAATAATAATAACTGCTTCAATAGCTTACAAATACTATAAAATGAATGGAAACAACAACAATAACAACAACAACAATAATAACAATAATAATAATAATAATAGCTGCTTCAACAGCTTACAAATACTATAAAATGAATGGAGAATGTGTTGCCCCAAATTCGGTATTTAATAGAGACTGAACAAAATCTCACAAGTACTATAAAATGAACGGAGAATGTGTTACCTCAAATTCGGTATTTACTAGAGACTGAACAAAATCCAGCAGTTGAAGCTTTGCCCATTGCTGGCACAAGTAGGGTCGTCTCTTTATGAAGGATCCCTATAACCAAAACATATTCTGTTTTTTGGAATCTTTCCATTTCTTGCATCATTGGCAAACTTTTGCAGGAGTTCCAGTGCTTTATCCATGGCACGATTCACCACAGTAACCTACAATGAGTAACAAAGGAGATGGTGAGGCAGAGCATATCACAGAATAAAACTAACTGGTATTACTTGTGGATAAAGACATGCTGTCGGCTACTCAAATAATGTATTTCATCACAGATAAAAGAAAAGGAAAATTACTGTTCACAATGACAGAATAATTTGGTGCACTAAGATTTACAGGGAATTCAAAGTCATCTGGGCAACCTCTCACATTTCTTCTTGACGACTAAAGAATGAACTAATGGAATGAGAGGCTGGGGCAGAACAGGCAAGAAAAAGGAGATAGGTAATTCATTTTACTCATTCAAAATAAGTCATTGGTTACTCAAAATAACATTGTTTCTTGCATATAAAAAGCAAATTAGCCAATAGTAACAAAATGAGAAATGTAGAACATAGAGGTACAGGAGAAAAACAGTCCAGTGTCCAGAGATTTCAAGGAAGAAAATCAGGTAATAGTCATGAACAGGCAAGCTAGACCTATAGATTAGCCATGTTAACTAGTTATTAGCTTCAGTCCTTTACTAACCAAGATAACATGAGAAAACAAGATGAGCACTTGAACGGATGTCATCACAAATCTTACCTGCAAAAATGCTAAATATGCACCTACAATATCCTCGAATGTGCTATCCTTTTCTTCGAGGACCCTGCAGATGAAAATGCAGAAACAACTAATAACAGGCACTACGGTTGAGTAATCATGGGTTTTTTCATCTAATCAACGACACTCCCATTTTCAATGATATCATAGTCGGCATTGACGCTGTCCATGTTTAAATTACATTAGTAAATGTGAGAGTTAGAATCTTGCACAACATAATAATGTAAAAAAAAGTTCCTATAATTGATTGACGCATCAACCACTGTTCATAGAGGAAAGAAATTGTCAGAAAATAAAAAATAAATGAGTGTTCTTACTTCTGGTAATAGTTGCTTTGTTCGAGTGCATAAAGTTGAAACAGATTTCAAGGGTTTGGCCCGAGCACCTCTGACTAACTGAAGTGATCGGTGACCATATGCGTTTTAGCTTCTTGTGGAGCCCATCCAAAGTTCTGCCAACAAAGAATACGGAAAGGAGTGACATTCGCCATACTCGAGATGTTTTCTACATCCACAAGCACGACAAGGGAAAGATTCCATCTCGCGAAACAGAAGTATACTTCTTTAACAATAATGCATTAAAGCCACACAAGTGAAACAGAGACCCATCTAGGACCCACCAGACACAAGTAACATGTTTGTGAGCATCTCTGTCTGTTATGGCAGTTCTTAAATTATCTCAGGCTGCAGACTTGCTACTTGGCTTTCAAAGACTGAAATTACAAAGCAAAAAACATCCACAGTAGCGATACATCACTGATCTATTTCTCTCTAGCTTTATATTCACAGTTATTTTTCTGTCTGTACCGTGACAACTCATTAGTTTTTTTATTAAGGATTTGTTTGTTTTTATGTTTTAAAAATGTTTTTAAAAAAATTTAAATTTTTTTATTTTTTTATTAACTTTAAATTAATATATTTTTAATATTTTCAGATTATTTTGATATACTGATGTAAAAAAATAATTTTTAAAAAATAAAAAAATTATTTACATATATTTTGATACAAAAATCTATTTTAAAAGCAAACACAATTATACTTTCAAACAATCTCTAAAACAGCTATCATGAGTTACTATCATTACTCGTATCTTTTATTTATAAATATATTAAACACTTTCCTTTCTATCAATTTGATATAATATATACTTAATATATATTAATTTAATTTTATTGAATGTTAGGGTTTTGAATTAGAAATTAGATTAATTAGAAATAATTTAAATTAATAATTAGGTTATTTTGTTTAATAATCAATAATTTTAGGTTGTTAATTATGAATTAACAAAATTATATGATGGAATAATTAAAGTTGATTTAGATTAAATTATGAATTATACCGAATTACATTTAAAATAATATTACTACCTATGAAATAGATGAATTTGAATGATAATTTTATTATAATAGTGAAATTTGATAAATATAGATGTTCACTGATTAATTTAATGAATTTAGGTTTTAACTGATTATATTATAATTATGGTTTTGTTGATAAATAATGATCTTTGATTAACCCCAAGATATTAATAAATTATAACAAATATCATATATAGAGGACTTGATACTTTCAACTTCATTTAGCACAAGTTAGCATAGGTCTCGTTGCATTACTTCAACATTGTTGAGATACATTGTCCATATTAGGTAATCCAATAGTTTAGAAAATCTCAACATATACCGAATTATGTTGATACTAGTGATGAAGTACTAGTGACGAAGTACACAGTATTAGTCATTAGGGTAAATGTGAGAGGAATTGGTTGGTGATTCATGCATCTTATTTATATCTTTGGGATACTAAGAGAGATCGTGTTTTTAAGGAGTAACATCCAGTTATTGATGTAGATACCTACATAAGATGGTATATATTCATTACATATTGTTTCATTCCACCTACCTGGTCATGTTTTCTAAAACGTCCACGCAATCCAATATATTATACGCCTCGATATTTGAGATGGAATCGATTGATATGCTATTATATAGTTTTATATATAACATTTATTAAATATCATATTAATTTTATTATGGATGATGACTACTAATTGGTTTTTAATGTATGTATATAGATTAATTACTTAATACATAAGGCTCAAAAAGCAGCAATGACTATCTATGAAAGTGTCAATGAGATAGGATGTATTGTGACCAACACTATGCTCAATTTATGTTATGATGGGCTTTAAGAAATTACAGAGGCTTAGCATCTTGAAATGTCATTAACAGAAGATAAAATTGGTTATCATGAGAGTGTTGGGGATATTAGTCCATCCACAAACATCCCAAACCTGTTATCAAGCATCTCAGGCCCATTTACGAGCATCACAAGTCCATTCACAAGATGGGATAATATTGGTCATTCCCACACCTACATGGACATTATAAACTTGTCTTAGAGTTGGATGAGTTTTAGTGTTGCTCTAGACTCATCATCAAGTGTTTCAGACCCTTTTATGAGTTAAGATGACTATTAAAAATAGTTACATGCTATTATATGTTATGAGAATTATAAATAGATATATAGTTAGTTTAATTTTAATAAAATATTATGTTATGTTAATTGTTAGTCTAAATTTGTTATTTATGATTGAAGGTATTATATGTTGCTTATATGAACTATGTTTTAATGTTGGAAAATTGATTATTTGAATTATGCAATTTTTTTTTCAAAGAGTTAATGGTAGAAAAAACTGTCACAATGTAAGTCTATTACAAAAGTCGCATATTCTATTTGTGACTCGAGTCTTATTATTAATATCTATTACACTTGAGCCGCAAACATGATTTGCAATAATCAAATCACATATGATATCTACGACTTGAGTGTTGTAGATGTCAATAATGAGTTAATCAAGTGTGCTAAATCTCTAAATATTTTTTTACATGTGTTATTTTTACTAAAATGTTTTTTAATTGCGCTAAATTTCCAAAAAAACTCATAGAAAACACAACATAATAATTATTCATATCAAATTGTCATGATACATTGGTCCAGATACCATCGAATCATCCACTAAATTGCATTTTTTTTATAACTTTAATATTGTTTATAACAAGCTTCATGATGTGTTCGAGCTTAAGATAAAAAAATGATTTTAAACAGTCAGGTATGGATTTGCCACAACTAAGTGATGATCTCCCCAGAACAAATTATATAGACGGTCTAGTAGATGCATTTATAGAGTGGTGGAATATGTCTAGGTTCAAAAAAAGGTCTGGTTGCTCAAAACCAAGATGATAGCTTAAAAAACTCATAACTTTTGATCCGACTGTTGGATTAGACTCGAATTCTTGCAAGAGTTTTTAAATATTGTTTTCCCTATATAAGCACCTACTGCACTACTCAAACCGTTAGATCTTGAGATATTGAAAATCTCACCCTAGAGCCTTACTTTGAGCAATTTTGTTATTTTTCCCTGGAGCCTTACTTTGAGCAATTTTGTTATTTTCATTATTTTCTCCTGGATTTCCTGTTTTTGTTTAAGATTTTATTGTTATTATTTTTATATTTTTACATTTTTATTTTATTTCCTAATTAAGGTAGGGTTTGTCACATATTTAAAGTTTTGTAAACCCCTTAAGGAGATAAATTTAATCAATATATTTTTTTAAAAAATAAAGTTATGAATATGAGTTTCACATTGGCAATCCATTTCACGCATCAAATTTCTGTGCTATATGTTTATTTGTTGTCTTTAGCTTTCATTTGTATTAATTGGTATCAGAACTCAATGATTCTTTGTGGTTATTTTGCTCTGTTATGTGCTGTAGAACAACCATGGCTAAAAGATGTTATAAAATAAGAGGCACTTGTATAGGAGGGAATGCTAAGTTCCTTTTCAAGAAAAAAAACATTTAGGAACTAGTGTATTGATTTATTCTCTATTAGTTTTTTCCATAAAAAATCATAGTGGTAAGATCAATGATAGGATGAATTATACAAAGGTGTTATGTTAGGGATCTATAATGGAGTTGCTCGCACAAAGATATTATGTTAGGAATCTATGATAAGGTGTTCAACACAAAATTGTTAGAAACTCATGATGGGGTAACTCACACGTAAAAGAATATTCTTGATGAAGGATAATTTCTAATTGAATATGATACTCGAGGAAGAGTTTCCTCTAACCCGGAAAGATTGATATAAGAATTTTTTTTAAAAAAATGAATATTTTTTTAGTTAAGATTTTTCAAATAAATAAAATTACATTTTATTTTGCCAAATTAAACATTGACCATGACCCTAAAATTTTTTGCAACAACAGAAGAACCCAAAATCAATCCAAGCAAACACAGATCATCAAGTTCAATCCCACATCAATAATATATGAAAATGATCAAATTAAAGAAAAAAAACTAAATGATAAATGGGGCTGAAACAGTTGTTTTAATTTCAAATTCAATCTCTAAAACTTCAATTATTTTAAATAAATAAAATAATTTTTTTTTCTTCAATTCAAGCAATAACCAAGCTCTATAGTTTTTCTTTTCTAGATATCGCGGTAACCTATCCCTCAACCAGTCAAAATAAGTTATTAAGTTTAATTTCACATTAATTTAATATAAAAAAATCATATAAAAAAATTAAATAATAAAAAAATTATAAAATATTATTACAATCCATCATATTTTTGTTTCTTTGGTTTATTTAAGAAAAATTAATTTTTAAAACTATTATTACAGTTGTTTTCCTAGATTATTTTTAAAAACTATATTAAAAATTACAATATAGAAGCAATAACTTTCCTAGATTATGCTACAATAAAATCACGAGATCTTTGAAGAGGTTGCGGTGGAGGGGAACTGACGGATACCTGAATGTTTCAGTTTGTTTGTGATGTATCTAACTGGGCTGGACTCTGCCCCATTTACTAACCATTAAAGCGACGTCTGTTTCGGCAGCTCCCAATCACAGGACATCTCTGCAGTTGCCACCTCACAAGTACCCGAGATAAAATCCACTGTTTTTAAGCTAGGGAAGGCTCCACGTTCGTCACCTAGTCTGCACTGCAGGCAGAAAAATGACCAACCCTAATGAATTTCTTTAATGTCTTGACTTTTATTTTATTTTTTCGCATAAATTGGGGAAGACTTTCTGCCATTTCTACATAAACTATGGTAGTAATTATCCTTTGCAATTTTCCTGACTAATGGCAGGGTGGGACTGTATGGAATAGATAGGTGCATGTTATTCTTATTTTATTCGTCGGAAAAGGAAGTAGAAGAAAGCAAAGGCTAATTTAATAATTAGTAGCAGAAAAGGACGATGTGGTGTGAAGGTCCCGAAGAGATGGCCTGAAAGCTGACCGGTAGAGGTCGACTCCAGCCTACCTGTCAGACCACCACCACCTCCTCTATTTCTCGTTTCCTTTCTCTCAAAGCAAACCCACTCTCTCTTGTCCTGTGTTCTCAACATTATTTGACACGGGCCAACCCAGACCCAGGCCAAATGCATCCCACCACCACCAACGAACCACCGCAAACACTCCTAGACCTAATAACAGACGTCCTCTCCCTCCTCCTCCTCTCCTCCATCACCGTCCAATCCTTCATCGGACGGTGGCAAGTTCTTCGAACAAAACTCACCTCTCTCCAGTCCTCTCTTTCTTCTCTCTCCGAATCCCCTCTTTGGTCCCAAAACCCTCTTCTTCACACTCTCCTGCCTTCTCTCCTCTCCACTCTCCAACGCCTCCTCTCCCTCTCCCGCCAATGCTCCTCTACCAGCTCCTTCCCTGGCGGCAAGCTCCTCTTCCAAAGCGACCTTGACATCGCCTCCTCTTCCCTCTCCAATCACATCCACGACCTTGATTTACTTCTCAGATCCGGAGTGCTTCACCACTCTAATGCTATTATTCTGTCTCAGCCAGGTCCCGGTTCCGACAAAGAGGACTTGGTTTTTTTTATCCACGATCTTTTCACCAGATTACAAGTCGGTGGCGTGGAGTTTAAGAGGAAAGCGTTGGAGTCACTCCTTCAGATTCTGAACACAGACAAAAAATCAGCCAGTTTAGTTGCTAAGGAAGGAAATGTTGGGTATTTGACCGGTTTGCTCGATTTTAACGATCAGCCGTTGATTCGAGAACAAGCTGTTTCGGCCGTGTCAATACTGGCTGCGTCCAACGATGAATCAAGAAAGATTATATTCGAGGAGGGTGGATTGGGACATTTGTTGAGGGTTCTTGAAACAGGGTCAATGCCTTTAAAAGAAAAGGCTGCCATTGCGATTGAAGCAATCACCGGCGATCCTGACAATGGGTGGGCTATTTCGGCATATGGTGGTGTTTCAGTGCTGATTGAAGCTTGCCGTTGTGGATCACAAGTGACACAAACACACGCAGCGGGTGCCATTCGAAATGTTGCAGGAGTAGAGGACATCAAGATGGCTTTAGCAGAGGAAGGTGTTGTTCCGGTCATTATTCATTTGATTGTTTCAGGTTCAAGTGCTGCACAAGAAAAGGCGGCTAATACCATAGCAATACTAGCCTCTTCCGGGGGGTATTTTCGCGATTTGATAATACAAGAGAAGGGGTTGCAGAGATTAATGCATTTGATTCAAGATTTGTCAAGTTCAGATACAATAGAACATGTTCTACGTGCATTTAGCTCTCTCTCGGTCTCAGATTCCACAGTTCAGGTTCTTTCATCATCAACTGCTCTAATCATCCATCTCGGCGAGTTTATAAAACATGGAAACATGACTTTGCAGCAAATTTCAGCATCTTTACTAGCTAATTTATCCATTAGTGATCGCAACAAGCGGGCTGTAGCTAGCTGCATGGGTTCATTGGTAAAGCTGATGGAGTCACCGAAGCCCGTGGGTCTACAAGAGGCAGGAGCGCTTGCGTTGGTGTCATTGTTGACAGCCCGATCGAACAAGAAAGAATTGGTGAGGGATGAAAAGAGTTTGATGAAGCTGGTGCAGATGTTGGATCCAAAGTATGAGCTTATTAACAAGAAGTTTCCGTTGATGCTCGTGAATGCATTATTGAGTGGACGGAGCGGTGGGTGTAGGAAGAGGCTGTTGGATGCCGGAGCTTGCCAGCATCTACAGAAGCTGGCGGAGATGGAGGTTTCCGGTGCTAAGAAAGCATTGCAGAGACTTTCTGGGATTAGTCTCAAGAGCATGTTCTCTAGGACTTGGAGGGAATAAACACAAAAGTAACTAACCTTCCCCGCCAAACAAAAAGGTACGATTATTTCTTTTAAGCATTATAATGGAAATTTGAGTTTTAATGACCATTTGTGTCTCGCCAAGTGGCTACCATTTTGATAAATGGGTATCCTGATAGGGCTGTTTTATTTTATTGTTATTTTAGTTTAGGTTATTTTTATTTCTTTAATCAAATTGGTGGGACCACCGAGAGTTGCGTCTGTAGATTTTGATGCCGTCGAGGTAGTTTCCTCTACGTGTAACCGTCTCACGAAAACGGAGACCAGGACTAGTCCACGCTCTTCCATTATTGACGGCATTGATATCGATTGATTTTCCCACTTACGGTTAGAATATTTTTGAACCAGAATTAGGATTATATTATAGCATTTTTAGAGTATTTTTTATTTAAAAATATATTAAAATAATATTTTTTAAAAATTTCTATAAATATATTACAATCATGTTTTCATAGTAAAAGTGTTGCTATTGTAACTGCAGGAGTCTTTGTAACTGTTCAAGGAGAAAATCACTTCGGTGGACGGACAAGCATTAGACCCCCACGCACATGGTAAACCCCAGCCTTTATTTATTTATTTTCACTTTATACACAATTCTTATGACCCTCCATCTATAAAATATTTATAAGCGTTATTTACAGAAATATACAATAATAGTATTGTTTGACAAAAGCATAGGTGGATGCGGTTTTTACGGAGTATCCTCCATTGCTTCTTTTTGTTTTTAGGGTGTGTTTGTTTACAGTGAAAAAACATGTGTTACATGTTTTATGTGAGCAAACACTCCCTTAATCTTATTAATTGATCTACTCATGTAATATTTTTTTTATAATGCTTGTGTGTTTTTATCTCCGTTGCCTGTATTTTGCACAGAAAGTGTACAATGTGTTGTTTGTTGTGCTATTTACCAAAATATATAGAAATCTCTTCGATTTTCCCTTTGTTTGCTTGGCTCGTGCTCTGAGCTTCGGAGCATACGAATCCTTCCGTGCATGATATGATGATGGTAAATGTTAGTTCCACCATGAACTATGTATAACAGAGAGAGTATTCTTAAATTACATTTTAATCAAATAAATTAAAATTGTTGATACTCATATCTATTTAACAAAAAAAAAAAGAAAAAAAACCCTAAAAGATAAACAATTATCTATATATGCTTGCGAAGTGGTTGGTTGATAATGTGATAATGTTTAAAGTGTTTTTCTCTTCAAAATATATCAAAATAATATATATATATATATATATATTTAAATTTATCTTTTATAATGATTTGAATACATTAGTTAAAAAAATTAATCTAAAGTAAAAAAAAGTTAATTTTTTTTAATTTGAATACATTAGTTAAAAAAATTAATATAAAGTAAAAAAAAGTTAATTTAAAAAAAAAATGTTTTTACAATGTAAAAGCTGCTGGACTAATAATAGATTATGCGCACTCGTAGCATCCACTACTCTGGTCCCAAAAGCTGATCAATTATTTAACTTTTTGTTCTTTTTTCATTGAATTCGCCCTTTACAAGTAGCCAGGTGATGGAAATCAATGGTAATGATGAAATGTTCCCGATCGAGTACGTCCGATGTAGTCTCGAGATGGCTCTTTCATCAGATATGGTGGGTGTGGGTCCGTTCACTTCATATCTGCTCGATCACCTTTTGAATACTTAGAAATCAAATGATCATCAACTGAACCTCAACCTTTTAACAGTTCAAGTCAGTTGGATGTGTTTGACTTGCTGTTATGCTGGGTGATTTTCACACTAAGCATGTGTTTACGTGTTTGATAATATTCCGTATTTCGTATTTTTTTAAAGATTTTTTCAATTAAAAATATATTAGAATATTATGTGCGTGTGTATTTTAAAAAAATATCACCACATTAAAACCATTAAAAAAACACTTATAAAAATATTAATTTAATACGTTTTAAATAAAAAAAGGTATTTAAAAAGCAAGGTAGACCATGATGTAAAATAAACATGTGTTTGATGTTATAGTAATTTTTATGGTTTAAATAATACGGGAGTTTTTATAGTTATGATTTATAAAATAAGCCTGTATGTTTGATTAAGAGTGATGTGATATGTATTTTTTTATAGTTATGATTTATAAAATAAGTCTGTATGTTTGATTAAGAGTGATGTGAGATGTATTTTTGCATGTAAAATAAATAAAAAAAACTTGTTTCCAAAAAACATGTTATTATTGTTTAATAAAATCAAGGTTTAAAACGCAATGAGGTTTAATATAAAAAATAAAAGCTATTTAACTAACTAAATAATTTTCTTAGTATAAAATAAAAAATTATCCTTGTAACAAACTGCTGAACCAGAATTTGGGTCGTTAGTATATACTAATTATTGCCGTTCAAAGGATCAGGGCCTTTTCATGGCCGTAGCTCATATGATTGTGAACATTTGATAATATTTGTTGTTAAAATATTTTCAACAAAACAAATTCTAAAAAAAAATAATCCTTTATTAGTTGTTTTATATATATATATATATATATATATATATATATATATATATAAACAACATTTGGAATGTTATGAAACAATTATATTTTAAAAAGGTTCGGAGAGCTTCAAAGAAAGAACCACCGAAAGGGCTCGTACTACCCATTTGATCAAATAAATGGTCTTGAATCGAAGTCTTCTTGAGGCAAGCAGACAATCTCGATCATTGGGAATCTGGAAATTACGAGTAAAGAAGACTTGGGAGGAGTAACCCATTCCAAGTTAAAAAGGAGAAGAACAAGGTTCAGCCAAAATGCCGGGAAGCAAGGGGGGTGGGAAAAAAGAGGGGAGAGGCGACTGGCAAAGCAAAAACCGCAGGTCCCTCCGACCAAGAGCCTAACCAGCGACCCCGCAGAAGAAAAGATAAAATACGATGCCACAGCTTAACTTTAACACGTTATTGCTTTCCAATCTTGCTCGGCGCCCGACCATAAAATTTGCTTATTTGCACCAGATAATAGTAAAGAAAAGTGTTTGCTGTGAGTTCTGTTTAAAGCTACGATACTATTTGCCCTAAAGCCTAAACAATCCTTTAAAGTTCCACGCTTCTTCCACCGCCGGAGCTTTTCGACTTTCTCGTTATTTCATGCCAATCTTTGACAGCTAAGATGTTTCTGTGTTGCAAATTCATGTATTTATCTTGCGTCTCAACACAAAGTGAAGTTTGTATCAATATTTTAGATGGTAAGATTTTAGGAAATTTTTTATATAATTTTTTAATATATTCTTTTAAGTTAAAATTTTTTTACTTTAAATTTATATAGATTTATACTATTTTATACTTAATAAAATAAAATCAAAATAATAAGATTTGAACTCATAATTATTTAGTCAATAAAACTTTAGTATCATGTTAAAAAACTATAACAACTTCAGTTTTTAAATAAAATTTCAAGATATAATTTATATAATTGTTCCTCTTATTATTATCTTAAATCTAAATCTAAAAGCAGCAATTGTTCTTTTTATCAATTCACTACTATATATCAAAATCCAAATGGAAAGAAATATAATTTAAATACAAATTTGAATTATGAATCTCAAGGAAAAAAACCTATCCCTTGGATTTTAACTATATACTCATGCCAATCTTTGACAGCTAAGATGTTTGTGTTGCGAATTCATGTATTTATATGCGTCTCAACACAAAGGGAAGTTTGTATCAATATTTTAGATGGCAAGAATTTAGGAAATTTTTTATATAATTTTTTCATATATTTTTCCAAGTTAAAACTTTTTTACTTTAAATTTATATAAATTTATACTATTTTACATTTAATAAAATAAAATCAAAATGATGAGATTTAAACTCATAATTATTTAGTTAATAAAACTCTAGTATCATGTTAAAAAACCATAACAACTTCAACTTTTAAATAAAATTTCAAGATATAATTTATATAATTATTCCTATTATTATCTCAAATCTGAATATAAAAGTAGCAATTGTTTTTTTTATCAATTCACTACTATATATCAAAATCCAATTAGAAAGAAATATAGTTTAAATACAAATTTGAATTATGAATCTCAAGGAAAAAAACCTATCCCTTGGAATATACTACATATTATCAATCTATCTATATAAATTTAAAATAATTAAAATTACATTTAAAGTGACTAGTAAATAAAGTTTGATTTTAGTAAATAAAGTCTGGTTTTTGTGAAACCAGGCTTTGTTTATTGAATTTAAGGATAGAAATGAGGTTATCCACCCTTTCTTTCTTGTTTTATGTTTGCCTTCAATTAAACCCTTTTGTAATCTAATTAGAAGAAATTAGGCTTAAAATCATGATAAAAATATAAAATTTAAAAGATAGGGAACTAAAATGTCAAAAACCAAGAAAATATTTGGCTAACCCCACATTATCGACAATTTTCTTTTTGGTCTAATTTTTTTTTTCAATTCTTGAGTTAAAGAGAAAAATGATAGGGAACTAAAATGTCAAAAACCAAGAAAATATTTGGCTAACTCACTTGAAAACGATAAGAGAGAAAATATTTGGTTTGACCACTTTCAATTACTAAACTCGTTGTTCTTGATGCTAAAAGGTTTTTCTTGACGAGAGGAGTTTGATTGTTGTGGGTTTTTTCTATAAATATGCCTAAAAAATGATTGGGTTTCATTTTTATTATTTTGATTTTGTTTTTCTAATGATTTGGGGATGTTTTATGATTGTTAGATGGTTTAGGGTGGTTTGTATGATGTTTATTAGTTTTTTTAAAATAAAAATAGAGTGAACATTTTCAACCCAAAAAACTCACCCAAAAATTTTCAACCGTCATAGTGGTGGCCGAAAAACACAAGGCTCAAACGCATTGGGCTACCTTAAGCCCTTGCACTTAGGTTTATTTTTTTGGTCTTTTGATTAATATTTTTTTTAATTTTATCTTTTAATTTTAGATTTTTATTATTTTTTTTAATTATATCCTTTAATATTTGGTTAATTTTAAATGAGTTTTTATATTTCATTTATCATATAATAAAAAAATTTCTACAGCCTAGGTATTATTTTTTTACATTCAAATATTTTTTGGTCAAACCCACAACATAATGCAAGAATTAATCTAGTATAACTTGAGGAATTAGCTAAACATATCCTTATATTTTTAGGTATAGTCTTCAGTATATCATTATAAGTCTAATTATTTTTAATTTTCCCTCATTTTTGTATCATTTTTCAATTTATCCTTCTATTGCATTTTTTTTATTATAACAACAAAAATATTCTCACATAAGAAACTTAAACCTAACATTATTGTCATATGATATTAAAATTCTTTTTTCATGTGTAATTTTTTTAAAAGTAAATCAAATTAGATTGAGTTTCTCATACGAGGGGATTTATGTCAGTTTTAATGAAATTTTCTAACTAAATAATAGATTAAAAATGACCATGTATTTAGAAATAAATTGAAAGCAATTAGAATTATGAAACCACATTGCAAATTGAGTTTTAAATATACGGATAAATTTCTTATACTTGATATCGCGGCGACCCACTCTTATAGGTTTATTTTGATGCTGTGAAGGGGGAAGAAAGATCTTAAACTTATGAAAAGTATAAAGGAGTCATCACATTATATTATGGTTACTGAGAAACCTTAACTGGTTTGCAGAGTTTTAAGATAAGAAACTAATAGCGCTAAATGAAAAATATTATCACTCCAAAACATCATACCTAAGATAAACTACATTATTATTTGCCTTTTATTTCAAATATCCTATGGTGCCTAGTCTATCAATGGTCTATTTACATGGGTAAGAATGAGTCTACTACAATAAGTTAAACCCAGGATTATTGGTTTAAGTTTAACTATTCTAGATCTTGTTCATCTTTTTCACTCATAGTTATTATCTTTTGATAATACTTGGTAAATTAACATGTCTACACATATCGATCTTAATCATAACCTGTGATTAATA